AACGTAGGTAGTCATAATAATCTGGCCACTCAGTGTGTGTGTTTGTATATATATGTATGTATAGATATATCTATATCTATAATCTAGAAAATTGTAAATTTCCTTTGCTGTGAGATGACATTTAATTCCTACAAAGATGAAGAAATCTGTTAAACTCTATTATATCTCGTTGGGCATGGAGCATATCAAGAGACTGTGCTTTTTAAAGTGTATCTATAGCCACAACTCTTCTTAGGTTTTAAGAGTGGGAAAGGGGTTAGAAGTCCTGTTAGGCTTTTACCGTGGCCCGTGTCACCATTGAGAAGATTCACCCTCTCTATTTTCCTGGTGACCATTTTTACCTGCACAGAGAAGGTTTGGAAATCTAAAATGTTAAAGTTGTCACGAGAAGCGCAGGTAAGGAAAAATCTTACTGCAGGAACAATTGTTCTGGTGACAGCGGTCTAAGGATTTCTCCTTACTTTCAATAGATTATATACCACTTTTTGTTGGATCCCTGCAGCAGGTAGTGAAAAGAAAACTCCCCAACAGGACACAGCGGATACGGTTGGGGGCGTTCTTCTACCGCTTCCCTACTTGTCCTGGATCCTGGCGGTGGAGTCCGGTCTACCCTCATGGGGGTATGTATGTGGGGTCTCCGATGGATGTCGTGAGGACCTTGACCTGAGGTATGCTTGGAGGCTACGCTGTTCTCTGTCATGGCTGCAGCCTCCTGTGTCTTCCTCCCCCTCCCCCCCCCCCTTACCTCATGGTGCTCTGGCTTCGGGGGTCCTTGGTTGGCGGTGGCTCCTGTGCGGGCTCCCTCTGGGGGGGTCTTGGGCCTTGGGGGTGATTTCTGGCCACATGGTGCTGGGCTGAGAGGTCGGTGACCATGTCCGCGGTTGATGCCACTCGTGGACGGCAGCGGCCGCTACTCGAGGCCCCGGTCTGCTATGGAGCCTCCAGGCGGCTCCGCGGCCACTGTCTGGGACATGCTCCGGTCCCTGGAGGGCTCATGGGGGACTGGCAGTCCCCTATCAGCCGCCCTTGCCGTGCAGCCGCATCCGCGGCTGTCGTCGGTCATGCGGCAAATTGACCTTTATCTTCGGTCGCCCGGGCCTCCTCTCAACCGCGGACAGATGGGGAGTTTCTTCCTTTCGGCCTGGGATGCCATGGAAGTGGGAAACGCTCCTCCTTGCGGAGTTGGACGGCTGGGCTGAGACAAGGATGCTGGGGGGGGCGTGAGTACTGCGGGGTCCCTATCTTATCTCTGCCTTGCCTGGTGGGGTGGTCTGGTGCGGTGTGGCAGGGATGTCTCCCCTGCATTGCCGTGTGAGGGTTGGGGGCTGCGCTCTGCGGACCCCGCTAGATCCCCTCTGTGTGCGTCCTGTACGCCTGCGCTGCTTTGCCAGTCACCCATGCGTTCCTCAGGTTCCTCGGGGGGGTTGTTGGTACCGCATTGTCCCTGGAGGACTTTTCCTCTGTCATGGATGGTTTTGTGTCGCGCATTAAGCGCACTTTTACGCAGCGCCCGCCTAGGACACGGGAATTGCTCTTGCCGCCCCCTGCCTTGTCGGAGTCCGAGGAGGAGGGGGCACTTCCCTGGCCGTCGGTTCTTCCGGTGGAGGACTCTCCGTCCTTTATGGACCCCACCGATAGGAAAGCTGAGCCGCTCTCGCGGACTCTGTACTCCTTTTCGGGTGCGCTTATGCGTCCGGTTTTGGCTTCGGCCTTGGTGTCTCAGACCCTGACGGAGTCTCTTCCGCTTACGTTTTGGCGGTAACACTTCGCTGTTTGCTTTGACTTGAGTGCTGGTCGGCTCATCAGGCTTCCAAGAAAGCTCTAACAGAATTGCCTTTTACGGGGGACTGTCTGTTTGGTTCCAGCTTGGGTGGGATCATTGAGGATCTGACAGGGGGTAGGAGTACTTTCCGGCCCCCTCCGACAAGGGCGGAAATTTTAACAAGTCCTCCTTGTCCCACTCTGCCAAGCGTCCGTGGCAGCCTAAGTCTGCCAAGCCCGCCGGCATGCCCCAGTCCGCACCCCGGCTCTGGTTCCCGGGTGGGGGGGGGGCGTGCCTCCG